TCTTTGTAAGTACATTATATTTCCTGGATATAAACATTTTATCTGATGTGTTAATATGAATATTTTCTCTCAGTCAGCTAACCATCTTTTAGTTTTAGCCTGTGTTTCTTTTGTCATGGCAAATCTCTTTAGTTTGATGTAATATGACTCATTTATTTTTGATTCTGTTGCCTTTGCCAATGGTCCAAATTTTGGAAGAATTCTACCTATATTTTTCTCAATGTACTTTATAAATTCCAGTTTGATATCAAGGTCTTTGGTTCACTTTGAGAGAGAGAATGTGTGTGTGTGTGTGTGTGTGTGTGTGTGTGTGTGTGTGTGTGTGTAAGGTGTGAGATATGGATCTAACTTTAATTTTTTACATGTAGTTATCCAGTTTTCCCAGCAGCATTTGTTCAAGAGGTTATCTTTAATTCATTTCATGTTTTTAGTTTCTTAGCTGACCATAGATATGGGAATTTGTCCTTGGATATTTGATTCTATCTCTTTCTTTTAAATGATTTAAGATTTTTATGGTATAGATCTTCCACATCTTTAGTTAAGCTGATTCCTAGATAGTTGATATTTTTGACACTATTTTGAATGAAATATAATCTTTGATGGTTTTCTTCTCTGATTCATTATTTGTATATAAGAATGCAACCAATTTTTAATAAGTACTGGTCACATTCTTATTAATATTGTAGCCAGTCATTCTGCTGTATTGGTTTATTGTTTCTGGGAGCTTCCAGAAAAAGTGAAGTCATTGGAGTATTCTATGTATATATGTATGATCATTCCATTTGCAAATAATGATAATTTGACTTTTTTTCTTTTTAAAAGTATGTATTCTTTTAATTTCATTTTTTTTATCTGAATGCTGTAGCTAAGGTTTCTAATATTATGCTGAAGAAAAGTGGAGACACTGGATATCCTTGCCTTGTACCAGATCTCAAGGGAATGCTTTCATTTTTTCACTATGCATAATGATACTTGTTGTCGGGTTGGTATAGGTGACTGCTACTATCTTGAGAAAGGTTCCTTACATCCCTTTTTTTGTTGAGGTTTTTAATTTTTTAAATCATTAATAGATGTTGAAAGTATTGAACATTTTATCTGCATTTACTGATAGGATTACGTGATTTTTATATTTCCTTGTACTGATGTGATGCGTTATGCTAATCAATTTGCATATGTTGGACCATCCTTGCATTCCTCAAATGAATTCCACTTAATCAGGGTACATGATATTTTTTGTGTGCTATTGGATTTCATTTGCTAAGACTTTATTGAGAATTTTTGCATTAATGTTAATAAAGAAGATTAATCTAAAATTTTCTCTTTTAGATGTTTCTCTATCTGCTCTGGTATCCATGTAATGTTAGCTTTGTAGGTGGTGTTAGAAAGGATTCCTGTTTCTTCAATGATTTGGAAAAGCTTAAAAGTAAAGGCAACAAGTCTTATTTGAAGGTTTGCTAGAATTCACCAGTGAAACTGTCTTGACCACAACTTTTGTGCTTGGGGAGATTGTTAACAATTGTTTTGATTTCCTTGCTTGTGATTGGCCTGTTAAGACTTTCTACTTCCTTCCTTGTTTGATTTTGGAAGATTACACAATTCTAAGACTCTATTAGTTTCTTTTAGGTTCTCCAGCTTAATAGCATAAAGTTGTTTATAGTAACTTCTCATTACTGGGGAATCTGTTGGAATTTCTCCTCTTTCACCTTTGATACAATTTATTTGGACTTTTTTTCTTTTTTTTTTCCCTTGTGATTCTTGCTATTTGTCTATCTTTTGAAGAACCGCTCCTGATTTCATTGATCCTTTGTTGTACTTTCTTGATATATATTTATATGGAACGCTTCACAAATTTGCATGTCATCCTTGCACAGGGGCCATGCTAATCTTCTCTGTATTATTCCAATTTTAGTATAAGTGCTGCCGAAGCGACCACTCTTGGTTTCTATATTATTGACTTATGTTCTTGTTTTTACTATTTTGGGGTTCATTTGCTGTTCCTTCTCTAGAGATGTGTGCTTTAGAGATGTGTGCTTAGGTTGTTGGTTCAGAATTTTTCTTCTTTCTTAATGTAAACCTGCTTGCATTGCTATGAATTTCCCCCTTAGTACAGCTTTTACTATATCCCAGAGATTCTGACAGGCTATATCTTCATTCTCATTATTTTCAAGGAATCTTTTTATTTTTTCCGTGATATCCTGTTTGATCCAGTTGTTCTTTAGCAATCTTTTGTTCAGCTTCCAAGTAATCAAAGTTTCCCCCATCTTATTTTTGTGATTCATTTCTAGTTTTATGTAATTGTGGTCTAAGAGGATACTTTGTGTGATTTCTATATTTGTAAATTTATGTTTGAGGTATGCCCTAGTATGTGACCTATGCTGGAAAATTTTTCATGTGCACCTCAGAAGAAATATATCCATTTTTTTTGGGGGGGGGGTGATGGGTGGAAAGCCCTATATATATCCAATAATCCCACTTTTGTAGATCCTCATTTGGGACTCTTTTCTCATTACTGATATTCTGTCTAAGGGCTGGAGCGATAGCACAGCAGTAGGGCGTTTGCCTTGCACTCAGCCAACATGGCTGACCCGAGTTCGATTCCTCCGCCCCTCTCGGAGAGCCCGGCAAGCTACCGAGAGTATCTCGCCCGCACGGCAGACAGAGCCTGGCAAACTACCCGTGATGTATTCGATATGCCAAACACAGTAACAACAAAGTCTCCAATGGAGACGTTACTGGGCCTGCTCAAGCAAATCGATGAACAACAGGAGGACAGTGATATTCTGCCTGGTTGATTTGTCTAATGGCAAAATTAGTTGGTCTCCCACTACTATTGTGTTTCCATCAATGTATCTCTTTAGGAATGTGAATAGAAGCTTTATGAACTTTTCTGACTCTTCATTTGGTGCACAAATATTTGATAAGAGTTAGTATTTCTTGATCTATTGTTAACCAGTACATAGTATTGATTGAAACCTCTTGTTACTTTCTTGATGTTGAATGCTATCTGATTTAAATATGGTTGTTCCTACCTTTTTGTTTTCTTTGTCTATCATTGGCTTGCATGATTGTCTTCCATCCTTTGCCTCTGAGTCTGTATTTATCCTATGAGTGTAGGTGTGTTCCCTGTAGGCAGCAAATAGATTTTCTTTTCGATCCATCCAGCTATTCCATGCCTTTTAGGAGAGTTTGGTCCATTTACATTAAGAAAGTTTATTGATATAAAAGACTGTATTGCCATTTTGTATGTGTGTTGGAGGGGATGGGGGGTTAAGTTGTTTTTGCAAGTGACCACTTGCTTTTTATAGGTGGCCTTTCAGTAATCCTTGCAGTATTGTTTTAGTGACCACAAGTGGTGACAGCTCTTGTTTACCTGAAAAGTTTTTTATTCCTCCTTCAAATATAAATGAAAGCTTTGTAGGGTAGTGGACTCTAGGTTGAGTTTTTTTTTTTAATTCAGTACTACGAATTTGTCACTCTAGTCATGTCTTGCTTGTTTGATATCATACGGGAGATCTGTTGTGATTCTCATGTTATTTTCAATGTATTTAAGGTTTTTATTCTTTCTTGCTGCTTTAAGAAGTCTATCTTTGTCTTTAGTTTTTACCATTTTGATTACTATGTGTCTTGGTGTTGTTTTGTTTGAGTCTATTTTGTTTGGTACTCTTTGGGCCTCTTGAATCTGTGCAGAAACCTTTTGCTAGAGATGGGGAAGTTCTCAGTTATTATTTCTTCTACCATTCATTTTTTCCTTTCTCCTTTTTCCCCTTTCTTGGCATTCCTACAACTTGGATACTATTCCTCTTGCTGTCATTCATTAAGAATCTTACTTTCTTTTCTATTCTTTAATCTCTCTCTCTCTCTCTCTCTCTCTCTCTCTGCTTCATTACTGTTGATGACTTGTGTTTTGTTTTCAAAGTTGCTAATATGGTTTTCTGCATGCAGAATTCTGTTGTTGTGGTTTGCTATTGTATATTCTAACTCCTTCAATTACATTTGTATGGACTCTTTAATGCCTTGAATCAGTTCTTCCTTGAGCTGATTGAATTTCTCTTCTAGTGATTGCTTTATTTCCACTGCCATTGCATGGAGTGTTGATTTGAGGTCCTCCTCAAGGAGCTTGAGATTTTTGTTGAACTCAAGGATTTGGCAGAATTTTTATCTCTGTCTGCCAGTGTAGGTGAATTCCTTTGTTTCCCCATTGCCCTTAGAGTTTTGTGGGTTCTAACAGTTAAGCTTTAGATTCCCCATTATTTGAGTACTGATCCCATTCATTATTTTAAGGTTCTACTGCTCATCATTTGTTATTCTAACAATTTCTATGCCCTTGACATGACTATTTCAGTGGTCAGGCAAGTGAAAGTCTAGGTACTGACGTTTATGTACCAGAGTTATTATAGAGATGTTCTGGGACAGATATCAGAACCTGCAATTATCCACCAACCCTTAGAATTAGTGGAATTGAAGGAGTGAAGTTGCTGCATAGATGCATTAGTATCTATGTATCAGCAAGGTTTGGGGTATCATAGAGGCCTCTGGGACTTTTTGGAACAACTGATTTGGTTTAGATGCAGCACCAGCTTTGGCGGGTTCTGTGAGAGAAGGTCCTGGAGCTGAAGCAGTGATTGCTTCCCCTAGTCCAGAGACTGCAGGGAGGGATCTTTGCCTCCAGATGGGAGGGGATGGGCAGAGTTCAAAGCCTCCTGACAGACACACTTGAATTAATTCTGAGAAAAAGTCAGTTTGGTAGGTATCTGCGAGAGGTCCTGGGGCCAAGGGTGGGGCAGTGAAGGCTTTCCCTAGTCTAGAGACTGGGGGAAAAAGGTGTTTGGCACTGAATTTATATCCCATTAAAAAAAGTTGCTCAACGAATTGGGACAGTGAGGCTATTAAATGTTTTTGGACTAACCCAGCAATTATTACCCCAGGTGAATGCTGTGTATCTTCTTATTGAAGCTCGTATGCTTGACATTGAGAATTTCTAACAGGTCTTGTTTTTGCAGCTCCTGTCCACCACTGCTTAAAGAATACCCTTCAGCCAGGCGGGAGCTCCGTTGCTTTAGGACTTGCTCGGTAAGGAACCTTATTTTGTAGTTCCTTGGAGTGGCTGTGAGTTTGGGGGAGTGCAGGATGCCCTCTGGGTTAAGAGTTCTTCCAGCTTTCCCTTCCTCCCATGAACAGAAGCTTCTGGATATGGAGTCTGGGAGCCAGCGCAGGCTAGGTCTTGGAGTGTTTGGGTGGGACGAATCTGTGATGTCAGGAGAGATGGCAGGATCTCAAGAGCGGCCAGAAGTGACTCTGTCCTCCTGTGTAACATCTTTTGGTATGGCTGCTGGCCAGTGGGCAGCCTTGTGAGCTGGTAAGGTTGATGCCTAGAGTCAGTAGACCATCTATGCAGCCCCCTCCTGCCCCTTCCTCGGCACCAAGGGTGTGAGCAGTTCTGTGTTTGTCGGTCAGGCCCAAACTCACAAACTCTGCTATGGATTGTTTTTCTGGCAATGGAGTGAACAAACACTCAAAAGCCAGAGGACAGGTCAGTGCTTGTGTGTGACGCCTGCCACACTCACCTGTAAACTCACCCTCACATCTCATCAGCCAAACCCGACTTGCAGGTCACTGCACCAACTGGGGCAATAGTCAAATTAGGAACTCATAAATTAATTTTATATTTTACTGAATATACATTTTTTTAAAAAAATTGTGACTTTATCTTGCTGAAAAAGCGCTTTTTTCTGATTTTGTGGATATTACTGACCGTGGATTACTTTTATTTTGGTTTTTATACAACAGTTATATTAGAAATTTGCTGTTTTATTCTTACCTTCTTAGTAAAAATCCTTTTATCACACAATGGGTAATTTATATCCATTACCAGGCCTTTCAATCCTTTTCAGTGGGGCTGTCACTGCCGTTGGCACAGTGATGATTAATGTGATCTAATAATAGTGTGCCATTATATTACCTTAGTAAAACATGTACCAACATCCTATTCGGATCTACCAAATTCATAGCTTCCTATAATATTTTTGTTGAAAGACAGGATTACTATTTTTCAAAGCTGATTTTCCCCTTTAACATATTTAATGAAATTCACAATTCTGTGCCTTAGTAATCCGGGTGTGTGATTGGGCTCGGGGATGAATCTGACATCTGTAGGCCTTGTTGTGATTTGTCAGGTAAGAGGTTGGATGGTCCCAGGGATCTGCCAGAGAGATTATTTTGTTTTTGATGGGACTGGGTTATTTTGCTTCGAAGTTAGAAAAAAAAAATGTTGGGTTTCCAACCCCTTCTGACTTGTGAAATAAAAGTGTATTTTAGATCAAAAGGCAAATGGGAAAATGGTCTGGCTCAGAGACTCTTTTCTTCCCATGCGTACATTTTCTCTTCTATTATCTGCCTCAGTTGGTCTGCTGGTGAGCAGAGAGGTATGAAGCCAGAGGTGGCAGGACCCCTGTCCTTTCCCAGCTCGCCTTCTCTCTCTGCCTGTGGCCCCTTCTCTGGTTCGTGGCAGCATTTTCAGCCTCCCTCTGCACTACTGATGTTTAGGACTGAGTGATATTTGCCCGTGGGCTTCCTGCTAAGGTGTAGTCCCACACCTGGATCTACCCACCAGATACTGGAGTGCATCTTTCCCCAAATGCTCCCAGAAATCACCACCCATCCTCTAGGCGACCTGGGTGTAGTGTGATAAGACATAGGTAGATACTTTCAGGTATGACTGGGGAAACTCAGCAGAGTCTAGAGTACCTTGGTACCTCTCAGAGCCTCTTGGGTTTTGAAAGAGAAATGAGAATGATGGCTAGCACTACATTTTTTCCCCAGGCTCAACTATAGCCCTTACACTTCTTTCTCTCCCTGCTTTGCTAGAGAGTCTGATCCAGGGCCCACATTTTAACTCTTCTACTTAAATCCCTTTGTAATCATGTCCATGATGGATGATATTCCACCTTTTCAAAAGGCTTTAAGATCTGTGTCAACCAAGGATGACATTATTATAGTACTGACAAGATGTATTCAAACAATTACACACTCATATCAAAATGGGGAGGTTTGTCCTGGTGCTTTTGTGATGTGGTCTTAGCACCTTATCCCCTAAAACTCCCCAAATCTTCAGTAGGAAGCTAGCTGACTGGGAAGAAATGAGGCTTGTATTTGAGACCTTGAGAAGCAGTTTGAGTGTCGGTCTTCTTAGGGTGTGGGGTGGGGGAAGAAAAAAAAAAAGGGTGCTGGATTTGGGCGGGGAGAGAGGAGATATCCTTGTTTTTGATTCAGAACAAAAATTACTGCTGCAACATTGGCTCGAAATATGCAATCAACTGAAATCAGGAAAAGTATTTTGAATACAAAATGTGTATTGAAATACTTGAATCTTGATACATATGCACTCACATACATGTATATATTTAAATCAAGGATAGAGGAGATGAGAAATAAAGTTTTTGTCATAGAAATATTTTCTGAAGTATTTGCCCTCAACTGATTCTGCCTTGTTGGAATACATTTTTGGACCATTAACTTGTTCCATGGAAGACCTTCTTGTTTGATTTCACAACTTATCTGTGATGGCCGTGTAAGGAGGGAATGGCCCTGACTAGCTTTGTGTTCAGAGGATTTCAAATGCTGGGTGCAGACAGTGTTTGTCTCTTATTCCTTTACTGGTTTCTAGTCTGTCTCCGTACTGCAGTGAAACCCGGCCATTCTGGGAATGGTATTCAATGCATGTAGGTTCTCAATAAAACTTTGGTAACTGGAAGTGTGGATGAATGAATGGACAGGCACCAGGGACTCTGACTCAAGCCCTAACAGAACCTTAGAATAGTAAGTCCAAATGAAATATCATGTTACCATCTCTTCATTCCTTGCCCTCCCCATTATAATCTATACACATTATAATCAACATACATGCACGCATGCACACAAGCATACACACACATATCCAAGTGGTTCATTATAGAAAGACATTCTCATTATCTTTGTGCTTGGTGGTCATTTCCAGTGGGATTTGGGGGACCAGGTAGTGCCAGGGATTGAGCCCAGGCCATCTATAGGCAAAGCATGAACTCCAGACCTTTGATCTATCTCTCCAGCTCCTCCATTATTTTTTAAAATATAAAAAAGTATGTCTAGTATGGTGCAAGAAAATCTCTGTAGGCTTAAACCACATGAGTGACTTGTAAAAATATCTTTAAAAGTCTTTGTGCACATACACACGATGGAACTGGAGACAGAGGCAGAGTAGAAGTTGGCCCTCACAGTAGGCTCTGGCTAGTTGCTCTTGGTTCCTGTTATGTGTGGGGCTAATTGTTTTCTTGAGGCAAAATGCTCCATCTCTGGGGCACCAGTGGTTCCATGACCAGGACCAGCCTACTGGAGAAAGGCTTAGGCTTGGAGCAGGGGTGGGACATTCTCAGCCAAGGCAGTATTGCCTGCCTATTGGAAATTGTACCTGGTCTGAGGATGAAAAACCTTCCGTTGCCTTTGAAGTCATATTAGACATGACAGCAGTGCTGATGGGAACTACCCAGGAGGGACCTTATCCATAGACTTGGAAGCTTAAAGCAAAAACCTCTGGAGCCAGTTTCCTGGTTCAACCCTGGGTCCATGCTTAGTGGCTCTATGAGCAGGTGTCCAAGGAGTTAGCCTCATGGGGCCTCAGTCTTTCCATCTATAAATTGGAAGTGGAAATAATGATCATGCAGTGGATTGGTAGCACTTAAATTACAGATTGGGTCCAAGTAGGCATTTAACCAGTCACTGTCACTGTTACTATTCTGAGTCTCCCTGTTCACTCATTTTTCCTCTTTCTATCAATTCAAGTTAATAAATGTATAGGCTGCTGTGAGATAATTAGCTCTCCCTCCTCTGCTTCATACCAAATCTGGAGCCCCAAGACCATGTGCCAAGCCTGTGGTCTTCCCAACACCCTCGGGACATTGGCTAGCCATTCAGAGAATGTCACAAAAGGGGAGGAGGGGTTGAGTTTCCTGGGTCAGGCCTCCACCCTCTTTTTTCTGTGAAGGGGCATTGCTGACACACCACTGGGAGTTTGGGATTTATTTGGTGTTTGAGGCGAGCATTCCTGGGACGGATGCCACGTGTCATGATGGGTGGGGACAGCCAGTCAGTGCTTCAAAGACAGGGGAAGGGCTTGGTCTTTCTCTCCCATTCCCTTGTAAATGGGACTGCTCCATGCCTTGGCCCAATTAAATATTTTTAGTATCCACTGAAATTTAATGTTTTGCTTTTGGTTTATTATGTATGCAAGTATCTCGCCTATAAATTACATGTGTAATTGTACCATCGTAACCACTGCTAGTCAGCGACAACATATAATTAAACTTACCCTTGTAGTCATTGAACTTCTCCATCCCTGACAAGATCACTGACCACCCCTAGGGTGGGGGTGTGCGTCTGTGGATGAGCCATGAGGTTTCACCGCTATCTCTGTCTCCACTGAACGTTGGCACCCCAGGGGGCCCCTGAGGTGTCGCATGTGTGAAGGAGCAGGTCTGCCTATTAGAAACTGTAGCAGCATGTGCCTGGGATGGAAAGATTGGACTGGGATGGCTCTTCTAGTGTCTTTGCCCAGATTAGCACCAGAGATGGTGTTCAGTGAATACTTGAATGAATAAATCTTACAAATGTCTTTATTTGCCCGTTAGCGCTCAAGTCTCTAAACCCAATACCCTTCCATTCATTTTCTTTAGGGGGAATATTTCCTAGGCTGCTTGTACACCCGATACTTGGGGTGGTCACCTCTGCTATGCAGACTTTTTTTTAACATTTAATTTTTCAACAATTATCCAATACACACAATAGAATTTACTGTCTTGACCATTTTGTGTGCCATTTGGTGATGTCAATACATTTACATTTTCAAGTAGCCATCACCTCTCTACATATTGAGTATATTTTATTGACTCAGGCTGAAAGTTTGTTCCCATTAAACCATCTCCCCTTTGGCCACCACCATTCTACCTTCTGATCTTATGAATTTGACTCTGATAATTACTGCATGTTACTTATCAGTTATTGCAAATAATTTGGCCACACATATGGGCGTACAAATATCA